TGGGGTGGGGTGGAGAGGTAGTAGGGTGGATGTTAACGGAAAAACTGAAATTTGAAAGAAAAAAGACTTTTTTAGAGAGAGGAGGTGGGTGTTAAGTGTTGTCCTAATTTTCTTACCATATTTGGTTTTCCTATCTCTCGAAGGAAATGATAACATATTTACCATAATTGAGTTTTCCTTATTGTAGAAGGAAATTATAATTTTTCCATATTTGGCTAGTCCTTTTTCTTGTAGGAAAATGTTTGGAGTTCTATAAATTGGATCTATTCTTCTCATTCAGTAGCATCCACAATGTAGCCATATGGGGTTTGGGAGTCGTGTTTAGGGGGAGAACATTACGGGACAAACGTTAGAGTGTCACCTGTGTTTGCCTCTTCGTGAGGTTGTTCTCTCAATATTTTGCATTCTCTTTTTATATAGTGGATTGTTCATTTCCGTTGTGGACGTAGGTCGGTTGACCGAACCACGTTAAATGTTTGTGTCTCTTTTGGTATATTTCTCTTTGTCATATGATTTATCATCGTTCAACGCTTGCGTTGCTACCTTCCGCATGACACCTGATTTTATTTTGATATAACAAGTGGTATCAGAGCGAGGTTTAAGACAAGTTCATCTTGGCGGGTTCAGTTCTAGCCGCAACATATTTGACGATAATCGTGATTTTTTTCTGAGAAATTTGACCAGTGTGCTACGCACGTTGAGACAAACCTTGTGGTGGAGATTTGGAGATGCGACCTATTGAAGGCTATGTGAAGAAGGTGGAACAAGTTTATTTTGTAAGAAAATTCCGGCCAAGGGGGAGAATTGTTAGGTGTTGTCCTGATTTTCTTACCATATTTGGTTTTCCTATCTTTTGAAGGAAAGGGTAACATATTTACCATAATATAGTTTTCCTTTTTGTAGAAGAAAATTGTAATTTTTCCATATTTGACTAGTCTTTTTTCTTGTAGGAAAAAGTTTGGAGTTCTATAAATTGGATTCGTCCTTCTCATTCAGTAGCATCCATAATGTAGCCATATGAGGTTTGAGAGTCGTACTTAGGGAGAGAACTTTACGGGACAAGTGTTAGAGTGTCACTTGTGTTTGCCTCTTCGTGAGGTTGTTCTCTCGATATTTTGTACTCTCTTTTTATATAGTGGATTGCTCATCTCCGTTGTGGACGTAAGTCAGTTGCCCGAATCACGTTAAATGTTTGTGTCTCTTTTGATATATTTCTCCTTGTCATATGATTTATCATCGTTCAACACTTGC